GCTCTCTCCTGTTATGTCTCCTTGTGTGCTGCTACTGCATGCCGCATATTTCGTTGTCGCGATGCCTCGTGCGGGTAATACCAGAGATAGAGTGAAGGGATATATTAAATCTGGTTGTTAGACATAGGCCATGAGAGCCTTAAGGCCATCATCCCCCTGAATGAGAGATGCGTGTCTCTTTTTACTGTCTCCTTTTATTTGTCTCCTCGTCACTCCTCATCTGGTTGCCTGCCTCTCTGCTGCCCCCAGTCAGACTACTTTCGGGGACCAGAACCTCCCACAAGTCTCTCTAGGCCCTCGAGGATGTCTCCCATCCCAGGAAAGTCATCATCGTCTCCACGCCTTGGCCCCGTTACAGCAGCAGCCCCCATTTGTTGCCCCGTCTGTCCTCGCGCTGATGTGTGCCGCCTCCGGTGTCCACTGCCTCCTGGTTGAGGTCCACTGGCTCCTGGTGGCATCCCCCACCTGCCTCCTCTCTGTTGCGGTGTTGGTGCTGGAGAAGGGGCTGGGCTCCCCACAAGGTCTGACAGTCGTAGGGATAAATCTGAGAAGTCGAGATTGTCTCCTGTCTCCTCTTCTGCCCCCTTGCCTCCCCTGCCCCTTGTATCCTTTGCAGCATGCGACGAGGAGTCTGGCGGTGCAGAGACAGCTGAGCCTGGGGCGGTGCCTCTGGGGGCTCCCAGTCCGCTGCGGCCGGTGTCTCCTCTTTCGTGTCGTGGGGGAACACCGCCTCCGCGATGCCCCCCATGTGGCGATGAATGCGTCGGGGCTGTACGCGGATACCTTGGGGTGCCCATGGGTCCCCTAGAGTCGTCTGTCCCTCTTACAGCGGGGCCTACTTGGGGAGGTGCAAAACCCTGTGAGCTGGGCTGCTGCGGTGGCCCCATCGGGTGCTGCCAGGGCCCTGCCGGCTGCTGCGGTGGCCCCATCGGGTGCTGCAAGGGCCCTGCCGGCTGCTGCAGGGGCCCCATCGGGTGCTGCAAGGGCCCTGCCGGCTGCTGCGGTGGCCCCATTGGGTGCTGCAAGGGCCCTGCCGGCTGCTGCAGGGGCCCCATTGGATGCTGCAAGGGCCCTGCCGGCTGCTGCAGGGGCCCCATGGGATGCTGCGAGGGCCCTGCCGGCTGCTGCAGGGGTCCCATGGGATGCTGCAAGGGCCCTGCCGGCTGCTGCAGGGGCCCCATTGGATGCTGCGAGGGCCCTGCCGGCTGGTGCAGGGGCCCCATGGGACGCCGCGAGGGCCCTGACGGCTGCTGCAGGGGCCCCATGGGATGCTGCGAGGGCCCTGCCGTCTGTTGCAAAGGCCCCATTGGATGCTGCGAGGGCCCTGCCGGCTGGTGCAGGGGCCCCATGGGATGCTGCGAGGGGGGCGCAACTGGATGCTGCGAGGGTCCTGCCTGCTGCTGCAGGGGCCCCATGGGATGCTGCCAGGGCCCTGCCGGCTGCTGCAGGGGCCCCATTGGATGCTGCAAGGGTCCTGCCTGCTGCTGCAGGGGCCCCATCGGGTGCTGTGAAGGGCCTGCCTGCTGCTGCAGGAGGCCCCTCATCCCCTGCTTACCTGGCAATGGCCAAGGGAAACCGCCTACTGTTGAGCCATAATCACTGGTCTCCCCCTCATCTCCCGATGCACCAAGAGCACCCCCCCCCCAAAGGAACACACCACTTGTATCGTCACTGGGTACACTGTCTTCTTCCTCTTCGAACCCGCCAGGTGCCTCCCCGGGGTACCAGAAATCCTCGTCGTCGCCTCCGTCGACGGTGTCCTGCGGATGCCACCCCCCTGCCTCCTTTATTCCCCTTCCCAGGGGCCCCATCCCCTGCTGCGAAGGCCCGCCGGGACGCTGCGGGAACCCCACAAGATGGTCCCATGGCCCTCCCGGATGCTGCTGGGGCCCGATAGGCTGCTCCCAGGGACTTCCTGGCTCCTGCCGGGTCCCCGTACCCTGCGCAAATGGCCCTGCCGGATGTTGCAGGGGCCCCATCTGCTGTTGCCAGGGCCCTTCCGGGCGCTGCGGGGGCCCCATAGGCTGCTCCCAGGGCCCTTCCGGGCGCTGCCTGGGCCCCATACCCTGCGCAAATGGCCCTGCCGGATGCTGCTGGGGCCCCATAGGCTGCTCCCACGGCCCTGCCGGGCGCTGCAGGGGTCCCATAGGCTGCTCCCAGGGCCGTGGCTCCTCCTCCCGGGGCCCCATGCCCTGCTGCAATGGCCCCGCCGGATGCTGCTGGGGCCCCATAGGCTGCTCCCACGGCCCTGCCGGGCGCTGCAGGGGCCCCA